GAGCCTCCGTCTCCTCCTTACCAGGATGTGTGAAAGAACTCAATCACAGCCCCCGGCCCCCAGCTGGCGCAGGGTCCGTCACACTCGGGCGTAATTAAACCATACATCACTCAGCCTCAAGAGGAGGGCGCGCTGCCCCCTCTCTTTTTCTCAGCTATACCCTTTTTTAACTCGGTTTGTTTTTCCATTTCGGCTGTTTTCTGACCCTAATGAAGTAATTAAGTAAGATTGTGCTCTCTCTCTAATGTTGAAAAACCAGCCTTTATAAATTCACAATCTGTATTTTTGTACGACTTATAAAACAGGATAAAAACTTCATGATTACCGAGCTTTAAATATGCCGTCAGGTTTTTTTTTTTTTAACATTTTGACAGAGCCACTTTTCTGCAATGGGTTATAGTTTCCTGACTGGAGGATTGAAGCCACCGACAGCTTATCTCCACCAACACCAAGTATTGCATACGATAGTTTACAAATCATTCATTTACATTTGTCCGTTTTATGGTTAAGTATTTGCAATAACCTGCCCAGTGGTATATTTATTTCTAAAATGTCAAACCTTTCTTTCACATTTTAAATAAAACAATAAGCTGTCCAACAAGGAAGTCTGTCTTGTTCCCCCCTGAAACTTGTTATGGCTGACTTGTTAGTGGAGAGTTGCCAGTTTAAACACTTGTTAGCATCAGTATTGTACTTAGCTTTCCCACCAGTCATTTTATTTTTTGCATGTATTCTTTTTACATAGATGAATAGAAACACCAGACAGTGTGTTCACCCTCCCCCACAGGTTGTGATGGGCAGCATGAGTCACGTCTTAATCTCCTCATCATCTTTCTGCCATTGTTCTTCCAGGTTAAAATAGTTCACGTTCTATTTTTATCACAGCGAGAAAAAGGCTGAATCGCAGACTGGATACTACCTATATTTTGAGAAGCACACAGGAAATGGGTTTTTTCTTGGTGTGTGTGTATGTGTAGCACCCAGAGATGTCTGAAAATCACGTGTGGTATGATCTTAGTAGCATGTATTTCTGCCTATTTTATTTATTCTCCAGAAAAAGCTAACCTCGCCTCAGGCATCGCTCTTGGTGGTGTTGGACCTGTATGTGTGTGTGTGTGTGTGTGTTGTGTGTGTGTGTGGTGTGTGTGCTGTGTTGTGTGTGTGTGTGTGTTGTCGTAGTGTGTGTGTGGTGTGTGTGGTGTGTTGTGTGTGTGTGTGTGTGTGTGTGTGTGTGGTGGTGGGTGTGTGTGTGTCGTGTGTGTGCGTGGTGTGTCGGTGTTGGGTGTGTGTGTTGTCGTGTGTGTGGTGTGTGTGTGTGAGTGTGTGTGTTGTGTTGTGTGTGGTGTGTCTGTGTTCGATAACATCACCCTTCCATATTTCCCTGTGCCGGTGTCTGGCGCCACATGGATAGCTCTGTGCCCGATGATAGTAGGGATATTAAAACTCATGGCTTCTTCTCCAGCCTGCTCCGCTGGCCCGACTGTCCTGTCTGGCAGTCATCAAATCATCTCTTCTCAGGCAAACATGAAACACACACACATAACATGTGTGCACTTAGCAGACACAAAGTGAGTTAATGATTGTTGAGGGATATAAAACTGCACAGAGGGGATGATCATGTTTTATATCCTCTTCATTTTTGCTCCCTAAGACTCTTTCCTGCTTGTCTTCAATTTGTCCACACCGTACCACCAGAGTATTATCTTGGTAATCTAAGTGTTTTTATTTATATAATTACCCATTACACACTATTACAGTAATTCTGAACACTGTTTGTATTATACAAAGCAGGGTAGCCGTTTCCAAGTGTTTTGGTAGGTTACCTTGGTAGTGGGCTTGGGTGTAATCCTAAGTGTTAATTAGCTGGCGGCTTAAAAGTAATTCTGCCTTGGTTGTTTCAGTCTTTTCCTTAGGTTGAGTGCCTTTGTGATGAAGGATGGTCCCATTTATTCTAGGGCTAAGTTTCTCCTACAGTTTTTGCAAAGTACTTTATCAGTTCTTCTCCGAAATGTTACTTTAAGAAATCCTACCATGATTCTACTCCTCATGGCATAAATTTGTATCACTCCGTTAGTTAAAGGTCCCATGTCATGCTTTTCAGGTTATTACCCATCCCCTTGTGTGTTATGTAGCTTTGTATGCATGTAAACAGTCTTCAGAGTCACAAACCCTCAATGTACACCCTGTAGCGAGTAAAACTCTAACACAGAAAAGACGTGTCTATGCTGCCCCAGAACGCCTCGTTGAGGATTTCTCTTTTTCCATTGTTTACTTCTTGGGTGTAGTGACGTATTTCGGGTATAGTGACGTAACGTAGCCGTTATGTTTGGACCAATCCGCGGACTTCCTCACACACACACACTCGGCGGGACGTTGCGAGGCACGCTGCTGCGAGGAGCGGGACACTGTGAGCTAGCTCACTGGTGTGGGGTCGGCAAGACAGCGAGACACCGCGGAACTCAGCCTGGGCACACACACAAACTCCCAGCCAGGCTGCGGGGTTGTGTGTGTGTGTTCGGGCTGAGTTTTGCGGTGTCTGGCTGTCTCGCAGACGGCCACTGGGTTCACAGGGAGGGGGGGGGCAGGAGCTCCAACAAGCCATTTAGGACAGAGAGTGAATACACATACTATACAGAGATGCTGTATGAGAAACCAATGTGAGTTTGGAAAATTGCAGAATATAAATGTATTTTAGTTTACCTCAACAATGGAATTATGATCAGTAGAAATGGCCATGTCATGGGACCTTGAAGCCTTTTTGGATTGTTTGCCACTGGGCAACTTTAATCGGAATGAATGGAGTCCCTCAATTCAATTCAATTCAAATGTATTTATATAGCCCAATATCACAAAACACATTTGTCTCAGAGAGCTTCACAACTCAACAAACTAAATGAATGATAATGTAAAAACAAGAAACATATCTGAGAATATAGTACAATATAAGATACATGTGAAAATACCTATGAATGGGTACAAAACACAATGACACAAATACAGTTAGAATACAATAATTAACATGAAGATGTTTAAAAGGGAGTTTATAACCAGTTGTAACTGTACGCTGTACTGAAGAGGAAAGTCTTCAGCCTACTCTTATATGTGTTGACACGGTCTGACTCCCTAATCAATCAACTCTATATCCAGTTATCTTCATATAAGAAATGGACACATATACAGTATTCTCTAAACGTGAGCATAAGGAGGCTGTATTGAATCTCAAAGTCTTTGGCAGCCTTGAACTGACAGCAGCTACTGGTATAGCATAATGGAGAGTCACAACCTACTTGATGTTCAGCATCATGGAGAGATGATGTTAATTTAAGTCTTCACAGCCCTCATCAATATTTCATCTTTTTGTCAGCTCTCTCACTTCCTATTCTTAAAGATGGGTTCCATTTCCAAACAGTTTGATAAATGGGTCTCACAATTTGTATGTTGAAGGGTAATAAGAAAATATTAAAATGGAACCTTTGGAAATCCATCACTGTCTGACAATTTGATTAATGCAAAGCCTGTGCATGAAATATGTATATTTCAATATGCTGTATATCACATAGCAGCCACTTCCATCCCAGCAGCCTGATTTCACCCTTAATGATAATTCACATTCCCACAGATGTGCTTTATCGGTTACCATGCCAACTGGTAACCAAGGAGCATTAAGCGACCTTTCTTGTTTTCCACTTTTTCTGTGTGTGTGTGTGTGGCATTTCAGACGTGTGAGTGTGTGCTACCCTCCGTATAAAAGCTATTGTACCCTTGAGGATTTTCTTACTGCTTGTTCTCAACTCTTAACTCAGAGGTTTAAAAAACATACTCATTTGTGATTTTATGAATAATGTAATTTACACTGAAATGCGTTAAATCAGCAGTTTTTTGTTTAGCGGAGGGAAAACTAACAGCTGGCAATTTAGTCTAATAATCTATCCACTCTGACCTCTCAATCCATTACATGTCTGCGGCATTGTTCGTCGGATTGGACAAAATGAAAATTCATTTCAGTGTTTTTTTTCAAAATGATAATAACAATAAATTATCCACCTTTTAAACATGTTAATCTACGCCTAATTAAACAAGGTGTGTCGGAATGGCCCTCGCTTTTTTCCAGATTTTTCCAGATCAATTATTATTCCCGGCTGCGCTTCTCTCCATGTAGCCTCGAGCACGTTTTTTTTTTTTCTTAATGTTTCAGAGGAGCACTTAAGTCTCCTCCTCTGTGTACAGCCTGTAATGAGGGCTGCCAGCTGTGGCTCAAGCACACACACACACACACACACACACACACACACACACACACACACACACACACACACACACACACACACGCACACACGCCACAGTATGTTGCTCCTCCACTTGTACTGTAGGTGAAAGTGAAAGCAGATATAAACAGCGCATGATGTAATCGTCGTGTGTGTGTGTGTGTGTGTGTGTGTGTGTGTGTGTGTGTGTGTGTCACATTCTGAAATTAAACTACTGGGAATTTATAAACTTCTGATTGTAAGGAAAATCCATTTACGCCACCACCACCAAAAGACATGTTTGAATGTTGACCCTATACATTTAAAACGCTTGACTTATCCT